CAGAACCCCACCCACCCCCCCATACCCCAAACCCTCCTCCGGACCCAAATCCCCCCGACGCTCCCAACCCCGCACTGACGCCCCAGGAGTCTCCGTCCCCCTCAGAGCCCTCGGGACCCCCAAAGCCCCCCCGCGGAACCCCAAAACCCTCCCGGGACCCCAAAACCGTCCAGAACCCCACCCACCCCCCCATACCCCAAACCCTCCTCCGGACCCAAATCCCCCCGACGCTCCCAACCCCGCACTGACGCCCCAGGAGTCTCCGTCCCCCTCAGAGCCCTCGGGACCCCCAAAGCCCCCCCGGAACCCCAAAACCCTCCCGGGACCCCAAACCGCCCCGCACCCCACCTCCCCCGTTGCCCCCCAGCACCTCCATCTCCCCGCACCCCCCGTACCCCAAACCCCTGCCGGGTGCCCCCAACCCCGCCCGGAGACCCCAAAACGCCTCGTCCGAGGACTCCCAAACCCTCTCCGGTACCGAACCCCCCCAAACCGAGGGGTGTCCCCCCAGCCGCCGCCGCGCGGTACCGGTGACGCAGCCATTGACGGCCGTCGGCTTCTGCGCCGTCACCACGTAGTTGTAGGACATGTTTGGGGGTCCCGGGGGATCCCGGGGGGGCCGAGAGCGGAACCGGGGAGGAACCGGGAGCGCAGCCGCTCCGCGCCGCCGCCGCTTCCGGCGGAAATAGCCTCGCGTGGCCGCTCTGGCCCGCTGGAAAGGCCGGGGAGGAGCAGACGAGATGAGGCCGCTCCTGCCGGCTGGGAGGACCGCGCGGAGCAGACGAGAGGCGCGGCTGGAGGACCGCGGAGAGCGCAGGTGCGGAGCGGGGTGCGGGGGCTCCCCCCCGGAAAGCCGCGGGGTTCCGGGGGATCCCGGCCCCATCCCCGCCCCATCCCGGCCCGTGTCCCGCGGGGAAGGCGGGTCCGGACCCCTCCCTGCTCCCTGCACTCCCCCCGTGCTGGGGGGACTCCAAAATCCGGGGTGAGAGTCCCCGGGATACTCCCACCTGTATCCCACTCTGAGCCCACCCCATATCCCGAGGGGATCTTGCTCCCCATCCCAAAAAGGGGTCCCTGTTTTCTGGGGCTGGCCTCATCCTTTTTCTCCCCATCCCAAAAGGGGATCCCTCTTTGGGGGTTGTCCCATCCTCGTCCCCCATCCCAAAAAAGGGGATCCCTGTTTGGGGGGGGTTCCTTTTGGAGGGGGTGTCCCATTCCAATCCCCCATCCCAAAAGGAAGTCCCTATATGAGGGTGGTCTCATCCTCATCCCCCATCCCAAAAAAGGGGATCCCTGCTTGGGGATGGTTGCTGTTTGGTGGGGGTCCCATCGTGATCCTCATTCCCGAAAGTGGGATCCCTTCTTGACGGGGGGGGTGTCTCCATTTGGGAACAGCCCCGTCCCCAGCCCCCCATTCCCACCAGCCCTCCCATCCCGCCCCGTTCCCTTCCCGCTGTCCCTGTGCCAGGTTCCTGTGCCAGGACCTCCCCCATGTCCAGCCTGGACCTTGCCCTCTTACCCAGCAGATTCCAGCCCCGTGTCCAAGCGTTGCGCAGGATCCCACCCTACCATGGAGGTGAGGCCGGGACAGGGGGGTCGCCAATCCCCCTTTTTCCTCTGCTTACCACCCTTCGTTCCCCCAGATTCCCAAAAAACTGGTGAACTCGGTGTCCGGCTGTGCCGACGATGCCCTGGCCGGGCTGGTGTCCTGCAATCCCGGGCTCCGGCTCCTGCAGGGCCACCGGGTGATCCTGCGGAGTGACCTCTCGGCCGTCCGTGGCCGCGTGGCCCTGCTGTCCGGGGGGGGCTCCGGCCACGAGCCGGCCCACGCAGGTGAGACCCCGCAATTCCCGCTTCCCGGAGCCCCCCCGGCACGGAGACGGCGCCGAGCTCCCAATCCCGCTCCGCAGGATACGTCGGGAAGGGAATGCTGACCGGAGTGGTGGCCGGAGCCGTGTTCACCTCCCCGTCCGTGGGCAGCGTCCTGGCGGCCATCCGGGTGCTCGCACAGGCGGGAGCAGGTCGGGAATACGCCGGGATGCAGCTTTGGGATTCCTGCCCCGGAATCCCTGCGCTGTCATTGCCTTTCACCCCGCGTCATTCCCGTGCTTTCCATGTCATTCCCATTCTCTCTGTGCAATCCCCATTCTCTCCATATCATTCCCATTCTCCCCACGTCATTCCTATTCTCTCTCTGTCGTTCCCATTCTACGTTGTTCCTGTTCTCTCCGTGTCGTTCCCGTTCCGTCCGTGTTGTCCCTGTTCTCTCCGTGTCATTCCCGCTCTTCCCACGTCATTCCCGCAGTCGGGATCCTCCTGATCGTGAAGAACTACACGGGGGACCGGCTGAATTTCGGGCTGGCCCTGGAGCGGGCGCGCTCCGAAGGGGCCGACGTGCGGATGGTGGTGGTGGGAGACGACTGTGCCTTCGCCGCGCCCGGAAAAGCCGGGAGACGCGGGATCTGCGGCACCGTCCTCATCCATAAGGTCCTGCCGGGGCTCCTTCGTGGGCATTTTTGGAATTCCGGGAATCTTCAGGGTGGCTCATCCGATGTTGTCCTTGGCAGGTGGCGGGAGCGCTGGCGGAGGCAGGAGCGGGTTTGGATGAGATCGTGGAGAAGGTGACGGCGGCTTCCAAAGCCATGGGTGCGTTGTGGGATCCCATTATCCCATGGGAATGCTGTCCTGTGTCACTCCGACCCATCCCTCCCAGAAAATCAGCCCCATTACCCCTCTCTCTCCTGGAAAATCAGCCCCATTCCCTCCTGGAAAATCAGCCTCATTCTCCCCATCCCTCCTGGAAAATCAGCCCCATTCTCTCCTGGAAAATCAGCCCCATTCCCTCCTGGGAAATCAGCCCCATTCTCCCCATTCCCTCCTGGGAAATCAGCCCCATTCCCTCCTGGGAAATCAGCCCCATTCTCCCCATCCTTCCTGGGAAATCAGCCCCATTCCCTCCTGGGAAATCAGCCCCATTCTCCCCATCCTTCCTGGAAAATCAGCCCCATTCCCTCCTGGGAAATCAGCCCCATTCCCTCCTGGGAAATCAGCCCCATTCCCTCCTGGGAAATCAGCCTCATTCTCCCCATCCTTCCTGGGAAATCAGCCCCATTCCCTCCTGGGAAATCAGCCCCATTCTCCCCATCCTTCCTGGAAAATCAGCCCCATTCCCTCCTGGGAAATCAGCCCCATTCCCTCCTGGGAAATCAGCCCCATTCTCCCCATCCTTCCTGGGAAATCAGCCCCATTCCCTCCTGGGAAATCAGCCCCATTCCCTCCTGGGAAATCAGCCTCACTCTCCCCATCCCTCCTGGGAAATCAGCTTCCCCCCAGCCCCTGTCCCCCCTGGAAAATGAGCCTCTCCCCTCCCCGCCCCATTTCTCCTGGATGACCAGCCCCATTCCCCCAACCCCCTGGAAAATGAGCCCCCTCCCTGCCCGCATCCCAAATCCCAGCAGGTTTAACGGCACATTCCTTCCCGTGCAGGTACCCTGGGTCTCAGCCTGTCTCCCTGCAGCATCCCGGGATCCAAGCCCTCGTTCCAGCTGGCTGAGGATGAGATGGAGCTGGGGCTGGGTGAGGAGGGGCTCCCTGGATCCCACTCTGGATCCCTCCCAGATCCCTGGGGGGGACTGAGATTCCCTGTCCCCCATGGGAAGTGTGGGATGTGACACGGCCTCGTCTCCCTAGGGATCCACGGAGAGGCCGGAGTGCGCAGGATGAAGGTGAGGGGGGGATCCCGCTGTGTCCTCCCTATTCCCAGACCTCCCTTGCATTCCCACATCCCCCCACTCTGCTCTTCCCACCTTCTGTGTCCCCTCCAGGTGCTGCCGGCGGATGAGGCCGTGGAGACGATGCTGAAGCACATGACGGATCCATCCAATGCTTCCCACATATCCCTGACCCCTGGTGAGCTCCCTTGGATCCCCCCTGCCCCCCAAATCCCTGATCCCGGTCTCATCCCGCCCCTCATCCCTCAGGGTGCTCCGTGGTGCTCATGGTGAACAACCTGGGTGGATTATCCTGCCTGGAGCTGGGAATCGTGGCTGGAGCCGCCGTGCGCAGACTGGGTGAGTGTGGGGTTTTTCTTGGGATCCCCTTCCCTGGCTCTGGACTTTCTGGAATGACCTCCCCCGGCTCCTGGATCCCGCAGAGAGCCGAGGGATCCGCATCGCCCGGGCCTTGGTGGGATGTTTCATGACGGCGCTGGAAATGGCCGGAGTCTCCCTCACCCTCCTGGTGGTGGATGAGGAGCTGCTGCGGCTGATCGGTGAGTTCCCGGCGGGAATGTGGCCTGGGATGGGCACGCGGGGGTCTCCAGGTGCTGGGTGATGGGACACGAAGTGCCCGGGAGCAGAATTCCTGGCTGCTGGACGTGCCTGGAAAGGGGACACAGCTGGGAGACAGGCACAAGGGTCAGTGAGATGTCTGGGAGCGGAATTCCTGGCTGCTGGATGCACCTGGAATGGGGACACAGGAGTCTCCAGGTGCTGGGTGATGGGACACAAAGTGCCTGGGAGAGGAATTCCTGGCTGCTGGATCTGCCAGCAAGGAATCCAGGAGGATCCTGAGCCACTGTCACCTCCGGCTTTTCCAGATGCCAAGACCACGGCCATGGCTTGGCCCAACGTTCCCGCGGGACCGGCAACCGCCCGGAGAGAGGAGATTCCAGCGCCGAGGGATGTCCCGGGGCAGCCATTGGATGAGACCGGCACAGGTTCGGAGCTGGAACCCCTTGTGACCCCCTCCTGTGCCTCGGTTTCCCTCGGGAATGTCTCCTTTCCGCAGGGCCCGGAGCGGTGCCGGTGCAGCGGGTCCTGGAGCGGGTGTGCAGCACTTTGCTGGATATCCAGGATAAGCTCAACCAGCTGGATCGGAAAGCAGGAGATGGGGACTGTGGCCACACACACGCCCGGGCGGCCCACGGTGGGTGTGGGAATATCCAGGGAATTGTGGGGAGAGGGTGTCCCAGCCAGCACCGCCCAGGAGTGGGGACTTCACTGGGATGTCCCTTCTTGGGATTTGGGAACCCTGAGGTGCCTCTTTCTATGGAACAGGGTCCTCATGCCCTGGGAGTTGTGGCTCAGGAATGCCCTATGGAATTGGGGGTGTCCCTGCTTATCCCAGGAGTGGGGGCTTCCTTTCTTGGGATTTGGTTCCCTGAAGTGCCCCTCCCTAGGGAATGGAGTCTCCACAGGGAACTGTATCTCTGGAACGTCTCTGTTTCCAGAGGTAGCTGCCCCATGGAACTGGGAGTGTCCCTGCTTATCCCAGGAGTGGGGATTTCCCTGGGACATCCACTCGTGGGATTTGGGACTCCCAAAATGCCCCTTCCACACCCTGGGAGCCACAGGCCAGGAATGTCTCTACATCCAGTGGCAGCTTCCTCACGGCATTCCTGCTTGTCCCCACGAGGGACAGGAATCCCCAAGGAGCCCAGGACCGCCCCCCATCCCGCTCTTCCCTCCATTCCTGCAGCCATCCGGGAATGGATGCGCTCCCGGCCGCCTCCGGCCGCCCCATCCCAGCTCCTCTCCTGCCTGGCCGACCTGCTGCTGGAAAAGATGGGAGGCTCCTCCGGAGTGGTAAGTGGGAATGGGAATGCGGGGAGACACCTGGAGGTGTTCCCAGGACGGGGGTGACCGTATTCCCAAAGCTCTACGGGCTCTTCCTGACGGCGGCCGCCCGGAC